AGTCCCTGCCCCAGCTGAGATCAGGGCCCCGTTGTGTTACACACAGTCCCTGCCTCAGCTGAGATCAGGGCCCCGTTGTGTTGCACACAGTCCCTGCCCCAGCTGAGATCAGGGCCCCGTTGTGCCGGGCGCTGCACAGACACACAACGAGAGACAAGTCCTGCCCCATCTGAGATCAGGGCCTCGTTGTGTTGCACACAGTCCCTGCCGCAGCTGAGATCAGGGCCCTGTTGTGTTACACACAGTCCCTGCCCCAACTGAGATCAGGGCCCCGTTGTGCCAGGTGCTGCACAGACACACAGCAAGAGACAGTTTCTGCCTAAAAGAGTTTGCTGTTCAAAATGCGGACCATGCGAACAGATACACACCTGCTTAGCGTTGAGTGCACACTTTCCTGATTGCAAGCTCACAACTAAATAAAATGCCTATGTAATAAACGAGTAGTAAAATGCCAGATTTAATAAGCCAAAGCTGACAGTGGGGTGCAAACACCCCAAACACCCCAAAACCATCTTAACACTTTTGTAAAGGAAGTTCAACCCTTGCCGTCGTAGTATGTCTGAGAAGGAACAGTGACTGCGCACAGCCCATAATCCACGGCCGTATGCGCTGCTCACGGTCACAGCTGGTGATGGGCCGCATGCGTCCCCCTTGAACATTCTGCCCTGAAATGCCAGTGCTGCTCGCTCTCACTGTATCATGCGTCTCAGGCTAGCGGGTGTGTTCTCTGATTAGCCCCACTCATGGAATCAATTGACCACCTCAATTTTCCTTTAAAAAAAATGTAAGATTTTACCTTTCCTAATTATGGAATAAACCTTTGAAAAAAGACCTCTGGAGGCTTGCAACTAAAAGGCAAAGAACCCTCTTCTTCCCCCACCCATGATTTAGGATTTAAAAACTGACGGGTCAAAGAACTGCACATTCTCATCTAAAAAAAATATATATTTGCTGTTCGAAAATGTTTCCGAATGAAAAAACAGCAGCACCAAGCGCAAGAGCAGCACCAAGTCCTTCCGCCACCAAAGCCCCGCTTAACCGGACCGGAGAATTGGGTTGAATGTTTCCACTCTCACATCTACATTTCCTGTGTGGTCTCACAGCCCCGAGAAGCTGCCAGCGCTTCTTGTAAAATGTGCTACCCTACTCTGGTCAGTGGCACTCTTGTGGGCACTTGTTTTCAGTCTGACGGGTTGGCTTGAGGACATGACTCCGCTGAGGCTGGGGGAGATGGAAGACGAGGAAGGTTACACGGCACTCAACCTCCGGCCGAAGAGGGGAAACTCAGCGCGTCTCTCTCCAGATGGACACCGAGGTATTGACGTAGGTTATCTTCAGTTTGCGACATACCGCCACGGAGAGCCGGGTTTTATGCCAGAGGGTTCAAGCAGGAGATGAGTAGAAAGCATCTCCCACGGGCATGAGACCAGGGGTGCTCTAGTAGCGAGATCTGGGTTCTCATCCTGCCTAACCGACCGTGGGCATTCGCTTTCCTCTCCCACCATTTCTCTCTCTTGTCTATTTTATAAGCACTTTGCAGGCAGGGGTGGGCTCTCACAAGGAACGTGTACAGGGCGCAGCGCAATTCGGGCCCCATTTTGTGTGGGAACCTGTTGGTGCAACCACACCACTACCCCAATTCACAGCTGCCGTGGTAGTGAGGACGGAGCTGGGGGCTGCTGGCCATATGGACAACTCTCTGGAGCAGAAAGAGGCTTCATCTGGATAAAATTCTTACTCAAATCTGGACTCTGCTTTTGCCGTGCTAGATGGGGCTCGTTTTCTGGTATTGACGGCAGCCTCTTCTCAGTGGGGGTAGGGGGATTAGGTTGGTGGATGTCCGCCATTTTCTGCTGAAACAATTTTGCAGGCTAATTTTTTAAAATTAAATCTCGCTTTAAATGAGAGTCTTACCGACCTGCCGCTGGGGCTGACCAAAGCATTTATTATTATTATTATTCTGTCTCTGCTTTACAATAGCACCTAGAGCCCCCATCCATGAGCTTTCGTGCTAAGTGCTGTACAGAATAAAGCCCCTTCCCTCATGGGGGGAGGGGCACAGGCCCTTGGGGGGGCAGCTCTATACCCCCAAAAGTGGCAGGGGCCATGGGTGAAAGGAATGGAGCTGGGGAAGCAGCCTTTAATGGCACACCGAATGCACCATACTGCCCGGAGCGTATCACACGACACTCGGGAGGCAATTTAAAGAGCCGCAGCAACTCCTGGGGTAGTGGGCCAGGAATCCCAGGTCCTTTTGAATTGCCGGGCCCTGGGCAACTCACCCTCTTGCCTCCCCCTGTCAGCACACCTGCCTGCCCTAAAGAATTCACAGCCTAAAGAGAGACTTCTTAGCCCCATTTTACAGATGCGGAACAATGAGATACAGGACCCAGTTCTACTTCTGCGCTCACTACTGCCGTAACCGAGACTAAACTTCCCCAAGATCTGGGGCACACTGAGGAATTAAACCCTAATCCGCAGGCATCCTCCGGCAACACGCTGAGCCTATGTCTAGAGCAGTGTTTCTGGACAAGTGGTGCAAGTACCCTCTGGGGTACTCGAGAGACGTCTGGGGGGGTACGTCAACACAGCTGAAATGTGGAGAAAACGGCATTTTTGTTTTCAGTTTCATAGCGCTTTATTATTTTTGTACTTTTTACACCCAACAATTTTCACCACCTGCCCGGCTATGTTTATGTGGTTTACACAAATGTGTTGCAATGATATTAAAAAAAAATGTTGTGTGTCTGAAAACTGCAGGTACTGGGGGTACTTTTTATTTTTTTAAAGGAGTACTTTATAAAAAAAATTGAGAAACAAGGTTTAGATGGCAGGCTTCTTTTGGAACATAAGAACGGCCATACTGGGTCAGACCAAAGGTCCACCTAGCCCAGTATCCTGTCTACCGACAGTGGCCAGCACCAGGTGCCCCAGAGAGGGTGGACCGAAGACAATGATCAAGCGATTTGTCTCCTGCCATCCCTCTCCATCCTCTGACAGACAGAGGCCAAGGACACCATTTTATCCCCTTGGTGTAGGATTTCCCAGAAAAAACTTTTTAAAAAAGAGCATCCGCACAGCAAAAGCACACTGAAAAAAGTGATCTGCTTTTTCGACAGATAGCGTCCACGCTGAGTGGATGCTATCTCGCGTTGAATTACTATGGATGGAGTGGCCAACAGGGCACCTGTGCTTTTTCCTCTTTCTTCTTCTTGCAAAAAAACTCCCTCTTCCCCGTCCACACACACCTTTTTCCGAAAGAGCTCTTTCGGAAAAAGGCTTCTTCCTCATAGCAAGAAGTTTACCAGTGTTGGAAAAACCCCTCTGTTCTTTCAATTTTTTCCCAAAAAAACATGATTGCCATGTGGATGTTAAGTGACTTTTTTGGAAAAATGTCCATTTTTCCCAAAAAACTGCATTATAGACATACTCTGATTGACTAAAGGGAGAACTTTGGACCTAAGATTCAGGGCCGATAACAAGGTTTACTTCTGCCTTAGCATCTTTCCTGTTCAAAGCACGTTGCTGTAGTTAACTAACAAAAGACATAGGGAGGCATGAAAGCAGTTTTCAGGTATCTAAAAGGGTGTCATAAGGAGGAAGGAGAAAACTTGTTCATCTTGGCCTCTGAGGATAGAACAAGAAGCAATGGGCTTAAACTGCAGCAAGGGAGGTTTAGGTTGGACATTAGGAAAAAGCTCCTACCTGTCCGGGTGGTCAAACACTGGAATAAATTGCCTAGGGAGGTTGTGGAATCCCCATCTGTGGAGATATTGAAGAGTAGGTTAGATAAATGTCTATCAGGGATGGTCTAGACAGCATTTGGTCCTGCCATGAGGGCAGGGGACTGGACTCGATGACCTCTCAAGGTCCCTTCCAGTCCTAGTATTCTATGATTCTAAGACAATGTTTCACTAAATCTTTCATCTTCCAGAGCCTCCTACGAGGTCCCGTTGCTACAAAATCGCCCTAGGAGCTTTGGGGGCCTGGTTTCTGATTCTGACATTAGCAGGAATTGCACTGGGTGTCTGGGGTAAGTGTCTAGGAACCGACCTAGTTTTGAAATCTACCAAATGCAGCAGACAGATTTCTATGGTCTGGAGCAAAGTAACAGCATAACGAGGCAAATTCCAATTGATTTTTATCGTTTAAATCGAGAGCATCCATGTATTTATTTTTGAGCACTTGTTTCAATTTTTCTCAAATTAAATTGTGAAAAGGGAGGGGTTTCTGTATTTTCATCTATTTAGATTTTCAGACTATTGGGAAATTATCAGAGGGTAGCACAGCAGTGGGGTCAGATGAAAATGATTTAATCAGAGCAGCTGTTCTTATTTTAAAAGTTAAAGCTTTAGAACCATGTAAACAGAAATTGTCAGTGTCACAAGGAAAACTAGATTATTATCCATAAAAAGGGTTTCACTATTTTGTCTCTGTTTGGTGAAACCAAATTTTACTGATAAAAATCAAATTCTTCCAATTCTATGTACTGCAAATTTTTCTCTAACAGTCCCTGCTCCAGCTAAGATCGGGGCCCTATTGTGCTGGGAACTGCAAAGACACACAGGGTCCGTCTAGACTACAGGCTTTTGTCGACAGAGGTTTTGTTGACAGATACTGTCGACAAACAGCGTCTAGACTACATCCAGTTCTGTCGACAAAGCAAGTCGCTTTGTCGACATGAGAGTGTAGATGCAAAGGACAGTGTAGATGCCATAATGCTGTTTGTCGACAGAACTCTCTCGACAAAAGGCGTTATTCCTCGTAGAATGAGGTTTACCACCGTCGACAAACCTGCCGCGTTCTGTCGACGTTATGTCCACAGAACTCGGTGGTAGTGTCAACACAGGTATAGTTTTGTCAACAAAAGTCCACTTAGTCTAGACACACCCACAGAGAAAAACAGTTCCTGCCCCCAATGAATTCAAGACAAAAAAAGTCTCTGTGCCCCCATATCACAGGCGGGAAACTAAGGCACACGGAGATGGGGTGACTTGCTCATGGCCACACACTGGGTCTGTGGCAGAACTGGGAACTGATTCTTCACCTCCATCCACTTCCTTAACCATCAAGATAATTGGAATTTTTCCATACATCTGAGCCTCAAACCACCCTTCCCTTTGCCCTACCAGCTTTAACCGCTCCCAACTCCCTGACGGAAAACCCCATGCATGAGCCCTTTACAATTTTAATTTGATATCGAGATTGGAACCACCATCTCCTATAGGACAGGAGAGCTATAGATCCCCCCCACAGTAAAACGCTGAACATCTGGTCTCCTCCCTTTGCCAGATCCACGTTGCCTGACACTTTTTTACAATCAGACTCGGCCAAGCTGCTCCCTAACCCAGCTCTGCTCTCTGCCGCTGTTAAGTTTTCCAGGGCCCAGCTCATGACGGCCAGGCTGGAGCAGCAGAGGACACATCCTTGGAGGAGCTGGTGTCTCACCTGAGGCAGCATCTGTGTGACACAGCACCCAGCCGCTCTGCAGGTAACCCCGCCTCCTTAGGATCCCGGCCGGCTATGCGCACGTTGCACTTCTGGGAAGAAATGTCTGCCCTTCCCAACATCCTATGGCAGGGTCAGCTGTCCACAGTGTCCTCTGTAAGCTAAGCACTTGGGCGGCCACCCAGGAGAAATTCAAGTGCTTCCCAGCTGATTAACAGAGCGCCCAGCAGCGGCAAGCTGTGTTTCTATTGGTGGTGCACATCTGCCCCTGCTTCGTTGCACATGTAACCCACACACCCTCTGGGTGGGGTAGTATGTGAAGGAGAGTATATGTAACCCACACACCTACTGGGTGGGGTATATTGTCCCATTTAGTGGCACTGAGACCACTGACAGAGAGCATAATGAGTCCTCTCTACAGCCTGAGTTAAAGCCACATCTTCACTCTGTGAAGATGGGTGCTGCCGCCGTTGATCTTTCGGAGTTTGATTTAGTAGGTCTGGTTAAGACTCGCTAAATCAAACTCAGAAGGTGTTCCTGCCAGTGAGCGGTACTCTTGCTCTTGCATAGAGTAAGGGAAGTCGATTGGTGCATTTGCCCCCATCGGCCTCCCATTGTGGGAATGCTGCCAAGCTCAGCTTAAGATAAGCTGACTTCAGCTCATATTTTACATTGTGTACCTGAAGCCGAGCTGCCAGGTCTAGTGTGGAACTGTCCTAAGAAGCAGCTGGCTTTTAGCTCATGTTGTGGGAGCTCAGGCACTAACCAGGTCCCAGGTTTGAGTCCGCTGGTTAGCGTTATGCATACAACAAAATTTGTTCCGCACGGGGATGGGAAAAATTAGAGGGTACAAAGGTTATCAGTGAGGTTTGAACCCCAGATCCTATCACCCAGATTCCCACAGGCTGAGCTAAAAGAGTAACTCCCATAGCTGGTGCTAGGAGAAAGCTATTCTCCTTTTCCAGGATGTGCTCCTGGAGGGGGATGCGGCACACACTTTGCTAGTGTCAAGTCACTGGCAGGTTCGAACCGATTCCTTGGAAAGTTTCTGTTGATGTTTGGCTGTGTGGAAAGGTGACGTGTCCAGGAGAAATATGCCCTGGGCTTATAATTCTGTCTTCCTCTACCACCTCCAGTGATTGGCTTGGTGCAGGTGCTGGGCCAGTTTTGTAGATCAGCTAAGACACCTAGTGGTCACTCAGGGTATTTCTCAGCCTCGACTCAATTTTTTGTTTTGTTTTGAGCTCAGTCCTGACCCGAAGTTCCCTGCTCTCCTAGCTCTGGATTCCCCCTCTCCTTCCAACTCTGCCAATGCCCCTCAGTCTGAACCTGCGGCTCCCTGCTATCCCCGCCTGGGCTTCCTCCCACTTCCCAGGTCTGCCACTTCCCCTCAATCCCAACCCACAGCCTGGAGCTGCCCAGGAACACAGCTCTGCTCTTGCCCCTGATGCTAGTTTACTCATGCTGAAAATCAAATGAAACCCTCCCCACAACACCATTACAAATAGAGAAAGCCAAAATATGTAAACTAGGAGATTTCACAAGAAAGCTCCTGTACAATGGGATGTGATAGTACAACAGGTATTGACTAGTAATAGTATAGATATAGTATATAGGGATAGGATAGTAATAACACAACAGGTATAGTACTATAGGTAGAGTATAGGCTAGTAATAATACTATAGGCATAGCACTACAGCAGTGGTGTGCAACCTGTGGGTCATGCCTGAAAAAAGAGTTGTGCACCACTGCACTATAGCATAGGATAGTAACAATATTACAGGTATAGTGTGATTGGTATAACATGAGATAGTAACAATGCTACAGGCATAGTGCCACAGGTAGAGTATAGGCTAGTAATAATACTACACTTTTAGTAATATAGATATAGGCTAGAAATAATACTACAGCTATAGTACTATAGGTATAACATAGGATAGTAATACTACCACAGATATAGTATTATAGATAGAGATAAGATAGTAGTAATACTACAGATATAGTACTATAGAGATAGCATAGGATAGCAATATAATACTGCAGATATAGTACCATAGCTATAGCATAGGATAGTAACAATTCTACAGGTATAGTACTATTGGTACAGCATAGGATAGTAACAATACTATAGAAAAAAGTACTGTAGGAATAGCATAGGATAGTAATATTACTACAGGCATAGTAACTATTGGTAGAGCATAGGATAGTAACAATACTACAGAAAAAAGTATAGTGCTATTGGCAGAGCATAAAATAGTAACAATACTATAGAAAAAAGTACTATGGTAATAGCATAGGATAGTAATATTGCTATAGATATAGTACCTATTGGTAGAGCATAGGATAGTAACAAAACTATAGAAAAAAGTACTATAGGAATAGCATAGGATAGTAATACTACTACAGGCATAGTACCTATTGGTAGAGCATAGGATAGTAACAATACTACAGAAAAAAAGTATAGTGCTATTGGTAGAGCATAAAATAGTAACAATACTATAGAAAAAAGTACTATAGCAATAGCATAGGATAGTAATATTACTACAGGAACAGTACTATTGGTAGAGCATAGATAGTAATACTACTAAAGATACAGTAGTATAGGCATGGTATGGGATAGTAATAATACCATAGATATCATAGTATATAGACATACAGTAGTAATAGATCTGTAAGTATATGACCAGATAGTGATAAACTCTAAGTATAGCACAGACATAGTACTATAGGTATGGTGTAATACTAGTAGTAGGGGAGAGTAATCACAGTACAGGGAAGGAATTCAGCAATATTTAGAATTCTCAACTCCACTGACATAGTCCCTGTTTGTGTTTCTCTCCCCAGAGGGCTCCAGGTGCAAAGTCTGCCCCCGGGACTGGCTCTCCTATAGGAACACATGCTACTGGATGTCTAAAGAGAGCAAGTTCTGGAGCGAGAGCAGCAACGACTGTGAAACGAGGACGTCTCAGATGCTGGTGATCCAGGACAGGGAGGAGATGGTAAAGGAGCAACGCTGGGAGCTAAACTTTGTCTGGGGAGATTTAGCTGCATAATACAGTGGACGTGACTCACGCAGAGGGAGGAGGGTGACTCTTGGAGGTTCCATATGTGGCTGAACAAGCTACTCTGCAGAGTCCCAATATAACCCAGCACCCTCAACAGAAAACTCCATGGGCCTGCCCCCTGCTGGCTGAAATCAGTACAGCTCTGCCGTAGGCATCAGAGGCAGCCCTATGGAGTCGCGTGTGGAAGGGAAGGGGCTTGCGAGTAAGAGGGAGGGCAAAGCGCATGGCCCAGCTCCAGAGTGTTGGTCTCAAGAGCCGTAGGAAAATGGCACCTCCATCCCATCCCTGCTCTGCTTCTGCATGGCACCCTCAGGGGCTAGTCACTAGTACGGCCTCCGGGCCTATCCCTGTGCTTTCCCCTCCATCTAGAGGGCACAGGTAGGGAACTTGTTGGAGTTAACGCTGTCCTGTTATATTGCGCAGATGCCAGGGTAGGGTGCTCTGCTCCGCCTCAGCATCCAGCTACCTCTCCCCAGTCCCAGGGGACTCTCAACCACATGGTGTTCCTTGGGAGGTGGAGGCTCTTTACCCATCCACCCTCCTCTACGAGTCAGGCTCGCTAGCCAGACTACATCTCCCATGATACACCCCACAGCTCAGTCCGTGTTGCATTGCGGTGTCAGAGTGAAAGGCAATTTCATGTTGGGCTGACTCACGGGGAAATGTTTCAGCTCAGTTCCACGAGGGGAAATTGATTTGGGTTGAACCAACCCAAATCGGCAGATTACATTTCAGTTGTGCCGAAAGAGAAGGGACAAAAATTGACAAACTCGAGATTAAAGGTGCATTTTCTGTTGGCAAATAATTCAACGGCCGATTACCGATTTTGGCCTCTCACATAAGTGTCATAAAAATAATGCAGTGTCAGATGTATTTGATCATTTTAGACCCCCATGTTCTGTAGATTCACTTGGGCTGAGAGCCAAGAAACCAGAGAATTATATTCACCCCGGTACATCTGTCTCACTCTTCGCAGGAATTCATACACAACATTACTCAAGGAACAAACCTGGTTTGGATTGGACTCACCATTCAATCGCCAGAGCAGAAATGGATCTGGGTGGACGGTTCCCCATTAGATCAAAGTCTGTGAGTGTTCGTAAGTGGTTACGGTTTTACAGGAGGTGGAAAAATTGCAATAGACATGTTGGCTCCACGAGATGGATGAGATAATAACTTTCATTGGACCATCTTCTGTTGACGAAAGCTCTTCCTCATCCCCAAGTATTACCAAACCCTATGGTGTGCAACTTGCAACCCATTGTGGCTTTGTGTGTGACCCACACAACATTGTGTTTACTTTTGCCCTCATGCCGGGTTGCCACGTTCGGCTGGTTTCCATTATGCATTGATCGTAAGAGCCGAGCGCTTCCTCTGCATCCAGTTACAAGACCTGCTATGGTTCAATTGACACACGCCGCAAATTCTATCTATGCAAGCATAGTTAGCAAAACTATCCTATCACTCGCCTGTCCTACCATCTGAAGAAGTGGGCTGTGCCCACGAAAGCTCATGATACCAGCTACATATTTTCTTAGTCACTACCGTGCTGCAGGACTATTCGTTGTTTTTTAAGTTTCATCCTATCACGGGAGACCATCTTGATTACAATAATTTTGTTGGCAATTGAGATGAAGAGGGGCCACACATGTGGCCCACTCATTAGCCTATGTTCCTGATTGTTGTCCTAAACTCATTCCACTTTTATGCGTTTGTAACCACACACTTTCTGGGTGCGCTATTCCATCTCTTGGCACCAAGAAGCATGAAGCGTCCACACTATTTCTATTTCAAAATAGCCATTTTGTTGTTCCTTGTGGAATGAGGCTTACAGAAATCAGAATACGCCATCCGTTATTTCAAAATTGTTTCACAATAACATCAGAATACGCCATCCGTTATTTCAAAATTGTTCAAAATAACAGAGTTGCTGTGCAGACGCTCGCATTGTTATTTCAGAATAACGGCCCTTATTCCAAAATAATGCTGCTGCGTAGACACACCCTAAGATGCCAAAGGACTACTCATTGTTTTTAAAGTTACAGACTAACACAGCTCCCCCACTGAGACTCCATGTCAAGCAATTTTTAAATGAAGATGAGCTGCTCTTCTAAAAAATCTGTTCTAGGAACTATTTCGGGGCAAGTCTCTGGTTTGTGTTATCCAGGAGGTCAGACTAAGATGATCACAATGGTTCTTTCTGCCTGTGAAATCTATGAAAACCCAATAGATCCATATTTTATTTTATTTTTTTGGTGGAAATGTCATTTCAAATTGGTCTTTCTTTTTTAAAAATCAAAAAGAGTTTTTAAATGATCAACCAACATCTCCGGTCATCGGAAGAAGTGAGCTGTCCCCATGAGAGCTCATGATACCAGCTACATGTTTTGTTAGTCTATAACATGGGTTCCCAAACTGGGGGGCGTGACTCCCTGGGGGGGAGCATGAAGAAATTCCAGGAGGGGTGCGAGGCAACCCAGCCCCATCAAATTTTGCTACCCCAGTCAGTTCCTTCTTTTTTGCTGGGTGGGGGCAGGGGCGAGGATTTTTAAAAAATCAAAAAGGGGGTGTGATGCCGAAAAGTTTGGGAACCACTGGTCTAGAAAGTGCTACCCGACTATTTGTTATTTTTAAGATTAACATCGAAACAAACATTTTCATTTGGTCCAAATGTTTAGTTTGATCCCAAAATGACTTTATTTTTTAATTTTATTTTATGATTCTCCAAAAATGTCAGCAAGTTGTGGCCCACCAAGAAACACATTTTTCACAGACTTTTCTAAATTACTGACAAACTGGAAAACCATTATTCACCCGGTGCCAATTGCAACCGGTTTCGGAGCCATTATCTAGACACGATCAGTTGTCCGGTGCTTGATGACTACATTTGCTGACATTCTGAACAAAATTTCACACTGATTCCACCACAGAAATTTTAGACTTTGAAGTGACAAACAGGGGATACCCCTGAAATCTTCTTTTATCGCTAGTAATATATCACATGTTAAATCACAGCTCTTTTGCAGGTTCCCAGTAACGGGCTCTGCTGAAGGAACCAGCTGTGGCATGATCAGAAGGAATCGGATTAATTCTGAGTCTTGCAACACAGAATTCAAGTGGATTTGTCAGACGGGAGCCATCCTGCTCTAAACCCAGTGGTCCCCTTCCTGCTGGAGATGAAAGCCTTGCATTTTATTATATGAGCTGTAATTTACAAGAGGAATTTATATATTTTTAGCCCACAGCTTGATCACCACATGATTTTGAAAAGAGAGGAAGAAAAATATTTCCAAATATAAGAGGATTAAATTGTTTTCTTTTGAGGAGGGCTGGTTTGTGGGGTGGTGTGACGGGGTAGACCAGGCACCAAAGCCTCCTGCTGGAGTCTTGTGGCTTTGCCACACTCCATCCCAGAAGAAAACCTATAGAGAGGTCCTCCAAGGAGGCTAGAGTGGCTGCTAGGGAAGCAGCCAATCAGGGGCCAGAAAGGCTTATAAAAGGAGCTGAGAAACGGAAACGCAGTCAGTGTCTCTGAAGTCTTCAAGGTGTGCGGGCCGGAAGACTGACTGGCAGAGAGTGAGCGGCAGCATCACGGAGAGCTCCGTTGGGCAACTAATGAACAATGTTGGGAGTCTAAGGCCAGGTCTATACTGCATCTTGTAGGTTGACTTAAGGTACACAACTCCAGCCACATAAAATAAGGTAGCTGGTGTTGACATCCAGTAAGCCGAGCTTGGTACCATCTCCACAGCGGGAGGTTGATGGGAGCAAACGCTTGCATTGACTTCTCCTATGCCTTGCAAATTGAGGAGCAATGTCCACTGGAAGGGGAGATGCCCTCAGCGTTCCATTTAGTGGGTCTTTGTTAGACCCACTAAATCAAATACCAGAAGATCGATCTCCAGTGTGACAAGTATAGATGTGGCCTGAAGTAAAGTCCAGAGGCAAGGACAAGGACGCTGCCTCTAGGAAAGGTTGCCCTGGGGTGCCTGCTCTCTTCAGAGTGAGGAAACAGGCTGAGAGACACTAGCAGAGGGCGCCAAGATGGGCCCCTGTTAGATGTGTACCCCAGAAGAGGCACCCAGACACAGACTCCCGCAGAGTCCTCGTTGTTTGCAGATACAGATGAACCCTGTGAGATTCATAGCACTTTAAATTGTAGTGTAGACCAGGGCTCCAATAAGTAACGAATAAACATTATTACATTTTGTCACAAACATAACTTGACATCTCACCTTGCTCTAGATGTCCCGGGAAGGGCTGGCATTAATATTTGGGCGTTATATCATGTTTTTCCTCCATAGATGAAGGAAATATAGTCTCATCACAGTCCCTTTATAGAGAAGGAAGACACTGGCACAAAATCAGTGTTAGAGTTGGGAATAAACTTTAGAGCTCCTAAATATCTAAGTATCTAAAAGGGTGTTACAACATGGAGGAAGAAAAATTGTTCTCCTTGGCCTCTGAGGACAGGACAAGAAGCAATGGGCTTAAACTGGACAAGAAGCAAAGGAGACATAGGTTGGACATTAGGAAAAACTTCCTGCCTCTCAGGGTGGTTAAACACTGGAATAAATTGCCCAGGGGGGATGTGGAATCGCCATCACTGGAGATATTTAAGAGCAGGTTGGACAGACCTCTCTCAAGGATGATCAAGATGGTGCTTGGTCCTTCTGTGAGGGCAGTGGACTGGACTTGATGACCTCTCCAGTCTCTTCCAGTTCCAAAGTTTCATGATCCTATGATAAAACCCAGCCCAGTATATTATCCATTGGCTGGTAAGAACGCTATATCGGAGACAGAAGTAGTAAGCGGGCAGGGTGGTACCCAAGCATTAAGACAGGGCATTATTATGCTCTGGGAGACACTGTCAGCTTTCAGTTCAGTTAAAAGGTCAGGTGTTCAGGATTAGAGCTACACAAATAATAGATTTATTCAGCTCTCTGGCAATTCTGGAAAAAATCTATATTTGGGGCCTCACTAAAAATTTTGACACATTAAAACTAGAAAGTGCCAGGCTATACAATGTGTTGGCAAAACGGAAATGCTTCACTGTGAGTAACTCTTACCAAAGGGGTTTTGACTGAAATCGGGCAGCCGGGTCATTCCGAACTGAAAATCAAAATGCAGAAAGGTTGAAACGAAACATTTAGATTTGATTTGATGTTCTTAGAGGGTTTGTTTTTTCTGCCCCAAACAATTTGGTGAAACCAATCCAAATGCAGAATAGGGTTCACTGCCGGCAAATCTGCATTTATTTGTTGAAAAATAAAGTTCATCTAAAAAATGTCACCTGGCACTAGTCAGGACTATGCTGTGTGGCTGCAGAAGACTGGCTTTGTGTATTTGCCACTGGGACGATCCTTAATCAGAGTTGGTTGGCTGTCCATCTGTAGAGGCCTGTTTCTATCAGTGGATATTTGCAGATAGAAATCTGTACCCAGGCAAGGCTGTATCCATCATTCTACAATCCCAAGGGAACTATCACCGCTTGACAACACACATCTTCTATACACAGATAAAATGCTCACATTTATTACACAATTCACATTATCAAACAACGGAACGCCCCCACACTCCATGAAGAACATATAACGGAACTCCAGGTCGTACAAAAACTCCTTGAAATGCAGCTATAAGTTCAGAAGGAAGCAAAACGGTGGCTTGCAGTTTAGTCTGAGATAATGTGAACTTGGAAACCCGACTGCGAGCGTGAGCTGACCCAGAATGACACAACAGAGCTCCCATCGGCCGCACGGACCCTATGTGAAATAACGTGTGAAAAGAAAATCCATCGATAATGTAACAATCACACTCTGCCTCTCCTCAGTAGACCACAAGGCACTTCACACAGGAGGTCAGCATTGTTAGCCCTGTTTTGCAAATGGGGAAACTGAGGCAGAGGGCAGCAAATGACTCACCGAAATCTGCTCTCTAAGGTGCTTCTCTGCTGCGTTAAGTTCTCAAATTTGCAAACTCCTGACTCGATATTCTAGGCAGCAAAAGAGGCTGTGAACCTCCAGCACTCTGGCAAACGGCTCTTGTTCAAGAGCTCCAAGCGAATCGATGGCAGAAGCTTCACTGATAATAGAATTTAATCTGTATTTAGGATTTACCTGCCCCCAGGGCCGTATAAACAGTGAAAGGGACAATGTATCTCTCCTAGACGGAGGCTATAAAAGAGAAATAAAAACCACGTGACCTAGCAGCAGGCCAGCACTAAAAGGCACTACACGCCTCAGCCTGATAGCACCCAGGTGCCTGAATCAGCAGGCCACATCGCTCTGACTTGGAGAAACTGAGGCCCAGAGAGGCTAAAGCCAAGCTCTTTGTCGAACATGGGTGCCTAAAATCAGACAATTCTTTCGGTGTTTGGTTTCTAGACGTGCCAAGAAGAACATCAGAATGGCCATATTGGGTCAGACCAAAGGTCCATCCAGCCCAGTATCTGCTGACAGTGGCCAATGCCAGATGCCGGGAACACAACAGGAATCCTCACACAGTCTCTCTCCTGTCATCCATTTACAGACACACAGAGGCTAGGGACACCATGCCTACCCATCCTGGCTAATAGCCATTGATGGACCTAATCTCCATGAATCTATCTAGCTCTTTTTTGAACTCTGTTAAAGTCCCAGTCTTCACCACATCCTCTGGCAAGGAGTTCCACAGGTTGACTGTGCGCTCCTATGGAATTCACTGTGAGCTGGGGGGCCGTCAAGAGGGTCTCTGAAGGGCTGGAGAAGGTGAGGAGAAGGACACTGTGAGAGTCACAGAAAACCCAGTTTGAGTCTCAGATTTCAGAGATAAGCTGGTGGGTCTGATTGCAAAGGAGGGGGAGAAACCCCAGCAGCATCTGTTCACTGTTAAACAGAACCCGTTTGATGTCGAGACCCCAAGAAAGGACACATCGGTGCTCCCACAGTGCAGCGGTTTGCTCTCAGTTTTCAGAGTCGAACCGATTTAAGTCCTTAAGCTCTGGCATCTCCCTGGTGTGTCTGCGTGAACCTTCCCTCCGTTGACGAGGCATAGGGTTTGTTGCAGATCCAGCTTCTCATGATGTAGCACCGCGAAGCGCTGACTGCAGTCTCCTTCAGATACGCACAGTCTGCATCCCCCCTGACTTCAAACCTGGGCAGAAAAGCAAGAGGGGATTTGAAAGCACCCAGTTTGGCCCTGCCTCAGTTTCCCCTGCCTCCGTCTCCCTCCGAGGTGCCTGGAAACCAGCCACTCAGCGCAAAGGGCTTTAAAACCGGATCACCCTTCTCTTGGGGTCTAAAATATGGAACAGGGTCTGGCTCCCAAGCCTCCTTTCATCCGCCCACCTAGGTTTAGGGTTTCCATGGCCCTCTTTCCTGGGACCGTGTGGTTCAAGTCCTGGTCCCTCCAGCCTGAACACGTTCTCCCCTTTAGACCAGGGCTTCATAGCCCTCAGGGACCAGGTACCGGCTGAATGCTCTTCCTCAGCAGCTCAGCCTCTGATGTATCCAAAGCCTTGCCCTGATCGATTCCATGACGTCCCCCTAGCAATTTGGCCAAAGCCTTATTCTACAAGGCAAGCCCCGATCAACAAGCCAGGCCTGGAAACCTCCTGAGTTCCAGCTATAAACCCGGCTCGGCTTGATGCGGCGTCCCAGGGGAACAAAGAAACTCACAGGAGGTTGAATTTGGTGCCGTTCACCCATTTCCACTCACGATCAGTGCCCCTCTGGAGTCCTATCCACGGGTCTGTGGTGCCTTTATACCGCAGCATGAAATCCTGGTGTGGATAAAGAAGCCAAGAGGGAGCTGTTGTGAGCCACGGCCGATAGCGACTGGGCTAACGGAGAGCATTGATCTGGCGCGGTGTGCATGGCCAAGCTGGTGCAGGAAGAGGTCTGGTTCTGTGGGACATGGCACAATGTCACAAAAATCTGGCTTTCCGTCACTCCTTCATGTTACTCCATCATGCTGTGGCATGGGTAAGGCACATCCCGGCTGGTTCACTGCCCTGATCTCAGCTGGGGCAGGGACTGTCTCTCGCTGTGTCTGTGCAGCGCACAGAGGCCCTGATATCTACGAGGGGCTCTAGACACTAACAGATAATCATAGAGCTGGAAATTAGAAGTTTCCAAGGGAGAGAAGGTCTGGAATAGCTGACCAATCAGCAAACACCCTAACTAATTTGAAGGTGGAGTGTGAGAAGTTGAGATTGCTTGTGAGAGAAGGTACTGAACTTGGTGACTCTACTCATCTGATGTCCCTACACTGAGAGACAGTTGCTGCCCCAAGGGCTCAGCCACAAGACAGACAACTACGAGGATTATTAACCCCATTTTACAGATGGGAAAACTGAGGCCTCAAAGAGAAATCAAGATTTGCAAAGGTAGCTCGTGATTTTGGGGGGGCCCTTGTCAGAAGCCTTGGCAAGCTCTGATTTTTAAGAGGGTGGGAACTTAGCAATTTCTCAAGTTCAGGCCCCTTGTGGGCATCTGATATCGGTCACCCCAAAATTACTTGTCCCTTTGAAAAATGCAATAGGCTTATAATGGGAGCTGCCATCCCATGTACACTCTCTGAGATCTCATCCATGCCAGGTTTGAATCTAGCTACCTCAGGCCTGCCAATGGGTGGGGAGGGGAGGGCAAAGAGACCCATTGCCCTGTGGCCCAGCTGTTATAAGGGGCACTGAGCCATTCCTACTACTTAGGTGGTGGCCAGAGCCCTTTGGACCCTTTAGAATTGCTGCCGTAGCTCTGCTCAGCTTGGCTGTGAGTGCTGGGGCAGGTGACTCTAAGAACTGACTGTTCTTGCTCCCACTTCTTCCACCTTCAGCCCCGCCCCTTCCAGAGCAGGGAGTTGCCCCCCACACACATACACCTTTCCTGGGGGCCCGGCAAAGCTGACAGCTCTGATGAGCTACTGAAACTTCCATGCCATTTGGCTTCTTTACCACCACAAGGACCAGAGACTGTTTCTTCAGGGCTGGAACCCTGGAATGGGCCAGCCACTCACGTTCCAAATCTAGAACCCAGAAATGAGCTGGTCGCCAGTTCTCTGAATTCAGAACCCCGGAACTAGTCAGTCACTCACATTCCAAACCTGGAACCCTGGCGTACATCAGTCACCAGCATTCCAAACCCAGAACCTTAGAACAACTGACTAGCATTCCAAATCTAGAACCCCAGAATGAGCCTGTCACCAGTTCTCTGAATTCAGAACCCCGGAACTAGTCAGTCACTCACATTCCAAACCTGGAACCCTGGCGTAAGTCAGTAATCAGCACTCCGAAACCAGAACCTTAGAATAACGGAATGACTGGCATTCCAGATCTAGAACCCTGGCATTCCAGATCTAGAACCCTGGCATTCCAGATCTAGAACCCTGGCATTCCAGATCTAGAACCCTGGCATTCCAGATCTAGAACCCTGGCATTCCAGATCTAGAACCCTGGCATTCCAGATCTAGAACCCTGGCATTCCAGATCTAGAACCCTGGAAATAGCCAGTCACTAGCATTCCAAATCTAGAACCCTGGAATGAGCCAGGCACCAGTACTCAGAACTCAGAACCCTGGAACTAGTCAGTCGCTAACATTCCAAACCCGGAACCCTAGAATAACGGACTAGCATTCCAAATCTAGAACCCTTGAATGAGTCAGTCACTAGCATTCCAAACCCAGAACCCTAGAACAGCTGACTAGCATTCCAAACCCAGAACCCTGGAACTGACTAGCATTCCAGGCCTAGAACTCTAAAACGAGTCAGTCTTCAGCACTGCCGTCCTAGGTTATGGAGCTTGCCATCGAGAACAAGAAACTAGTGTCTTCCTTACCAGGTCCTGCTTGGTGTCGATCCCAGCCAGGGAGGCACCCAGGGCAGAGCAGCGGCTCCGGCTGTAGGTCCAGTTCCCTTCGGCCTCTGTGAAATAGTAGCATTTCCCTTTGTACCCGATCCAGCCATCCGCACACGAGTCAGGTCTAGGGGGCGGGCATGACTGCTGGGTTTTAAATGCCATCACTGAAAAGAAGAAAGAAACTAGTTCTCTCCTGTCCCACTTCTCTGTGTCACAGGAGCAGGAAGCGAAAGAAGAACCCTCCCTCCCCATACTTAGACTTTTTGCTTTTGTTGCTCTCTGTGGATCTGGGAGAGGGGGGTGTATTTCTGATCAAAACAAGAGCCAAAGACACCCCAGAGCAGCTCTCAGGGGAGCTCTCAGGGGAGCTGCTGTCCCCTTTTAAATCCAGGCCATTCACAGGCACCTAATGGAATAAAAGGCCTCTTGTGCGCTATTGCAGGGAAGTGCTCATAGAAAGAGAAGCTCTTCTACAAGCAAAGAGCTCCAGGGTCTCCTGGCCGGGACTGGGAAACACACCCCTCAAGAACAAGGGTTGTGCAACCCCCAGAACCCAAGGGGAGAAACTTTATTTCAAGTTTCTTTGGAGGTAATGAAGTAGAACCCCAGTAGGGAAATTTTGCCTCATCCTCCTTTGGACTATGTAAGGATCCCTGAGAGAAGGCAAAACGAGGCAGGGTTCCATAAGGCTGTGCCATGCCTCAGTCATCTGGGAGGTGTGAAACCTGGGTTTGAGTCTTTGCTCAGAATCAGTCAGAGGGGGATGTTAAACTTGGTTCCCCATCTACCAGACGATTGTGTTTGTCTGTGACCGGGGAGGGCAAAAATTCAAAACACTCGATGTTTCTCAGGGAAATTCAATTCGGTTTCCAGGCCAACACTGCTCTGGGAATTATAATGCTGCTCTAACTGAGAAGGGAAGTGGAGAGGGAGGTAGCCGTGATGAGGTTTAGACACATCGCTACTGGGAAGACAGGGTGCAGGTCTGAAAGGAACAAATACCAGGTTAACTAAAAGGCTGTTTACTCACCGGTCCAACAACTGAAAACTCCAGCAAGAAAGAAAACTCCAGCTGCAATTTTCGACTTGTGTCTAAGAATTTTGCCACATGAACACCTATCTTCTGAAAGAGAAAAGGCCATTAGTATCTAATGGAGTTAGCCAGGCATCAGGCTTGTCCCAAACAAAGTTAGCCGGCAAAGTTAATGTACCATGTCCCTCACGTCCTTTAAAAAAGGGAATGAAAGTTCAAAGATTTAGGCAGGGTTCTATAGGGTGATATTTATTTCTGATCTCATCTGGATAGCTGCTAACTTCTTGCCCTTCCCAATTCTAAGTTCTTCCAGGACCCAACCCTCAGCCAGGTGGGTATCAAATTTTGGTCTGACGGCACTTGCTGTTGTCTGCAGGAGTGGAGCTGCTTCGAGCCCCACACTTGGGGCACTGAAGGGGGAGTTGCTCCAGGCTCTGCACCTCTCTAGGGATGGCCCAGGGCCTGCGTAGTGCAAACCAGGCCTTGAGGTGTAATGCTTTTCAACACGCTTCACTCCCCGAGCCCCCTGAAAGAAGGAGGAAGGAGTGGCCGTCGGGTTACCTTTTCCAGTTGAGTAATGCTTCCCATGTTCATCTTTCCTCTCCATCTGGAACTAGCTGGGAACCGAGCTGCCCGAGTGTCCAACCAACTCTTCCACTGCTACAGAATTACTTCTGGTCAGCTGTGACAGTCCCAGTGTGATGTTCTTCAGTTTCCTGAGGTTTCGTCCCTTGAGTTACCGTCTGCTTTGTTCTTATACCAGAGACTACAAGAGACCAGACACAAGTTCTCTGGCTGAAATTAATTTGACCTTTCAGGACAAATACATGGAAATGGGTTAAGCGGTGTAATGAAATTAATTTGACCTTTCAGGACAAATACATGGAGATGGGTTAAGAGATGTAGAATCATAGAAGTAAAGGGCTGGAAGGAACTTCAAGAGGTCACCAAGTCCACGCCCATATGTTAGGCAGGAATATGTAAACCTAGACCATCCCGGACAGGTGTTTGTCTAACCTAATCTTAAAAACCTGGAGATTCCACAATTCGTTCCAGTGCTTGACTATCCAGGTGTTTGTCTAACCTATTCTTAAAAACCTGGAGATTCCACAAAATGTTCCAGTGCTTGACTATAATTAGAAAGTGCTTTCTAAGAGCCAACCTAAATTTTCTGAAGATTATGTCCAACCTCTGGAAGGCCTTGAGACCAATTGATCTCCATCCTCATTATAATAATCTTTTATTTACAGATTTGATGACTCCACTTTCTCTTCTCTAGAGTAAATATGCCCAGTTCTTTCAACATTTCCTCGCATATCCTGTTTTCTAAACCTCTGATCATGTGTGTTGCTTTCTCTGGATTCTCCCCCTTTTTTCGTAAAGTGTGATGGCTAAAACTGGACAGAATACTCCAATGCGGAAGAAAACATTCCCATATATTTATCCTGCATGTTTAAAATAACACTTTTGTTAATACACCCCAGAATTATGTTAATAGACCCCAAAAATGGAGTCATTCTGTGGCCCACACTGCCACATGTAGCAGAAGGAAGATTCCAGGGCTGGGGTTTAAAGAAAAACAGATTTGTCCCCCCAAAAATGGAGTCATTCTGTGGCCCAGGGCTGGAGTTTAAAGAAAAACAGATTTGTCCTGCAACAATATTCTGTTTCTAGGCTGGTCTCTACTACATGGTGGATCGATGCTGCAGCGATCGATCCATCGGTTGTTGATTTATCATGTCTGATTAGGCACGATAAATCAATCTCTGAGCGCTTTCCAGTCGATGCAGGTACTCCACTAGGACAAGAAGGGTAGCTGGTGTCAACAGGAGAATTCCAGTCGATGCAGGTACTCCACTAGGACGAGAAGGGTAGCTGGTGTCAACAGGAGAGCAGCCCCCATGACCTTACTGCATGGTAAGTACATCAACTTCAAGTCACGCAGATTAGACTGACGGTGGGAGTTAGTGTAGACGAGACCTCGGGGAATATTTCTGAGCACTGTTGTGAACTGTGGTCGCAAGCCTGTTTCCATTCGAGTCACCTTTCCCTGACCCTTTTCAGTCATTTGTAACTTTCAGAAATGTCCATTGTGAGTGTTGAAATTTTCCCGTACCCCCGCAATCTGTAACTGAGAAGAACAAACATGTGCTTTGGGTAACGTGAAAACACTTTAGTTGTTCTCAGAAGCCCAGCTCTTCAAAGGGATGTAGGTGCATAAGTCATGTAAGGATTTCAGAGAGAGTTGGCTAGGAATTGGAGACTTGAAGCCCAAGGCAATGGAAATTTCAAACCTGCATTTGAAAATACCACTAGGCACCTACTGTAAAATTTCTAATATAATGCACACTTTTTTTCCAAATTTTTTTGGGTCAAAGTCAGGGTGTACGTTATATATAGCAGTTATTGTTTAAAGTTTTATTTTGGCAGTTCCGTATCAAAGACGACAAACCTCCGCTATGCCGACGCAGTAAACATGAAATCAACATCAACTGAAATGGCAGAGATTCTTAGAATGCTTTAAAATACTTAAAAACAATACATAATATGAAATTGATGTCTTACTTGTCATATGAAATAGTTTATAGTTAATTAATTGCTGACTTTTATGAAAATAAATTATGAACATGGACACATAAAGACTTTTATGAAAATAAATTATAAACATGGACACATAAATGGATATGAAGTTGAATTTTATTCCCATAGACTAGCAAGCATATAGACAAGCGGTTCCAAACCTTCCCATAGACTAGCAAGCATATAGACAAGCGATTCCAAACCTTTTTTGGCATCACGCCCCCTTTTTGATTTTTGAGAAACTCTCATGCTCTCCCCTCCCCCCCGAAGCAAAACTTGTTGAGTAAAAAAAAAAGGAACTGACTGAGGCCAAAAAACAGAAATTGCAGCAAAACTTAAGGGAGGAGATTGACGGGGGAGCGGGGAACGGCTGGGTCACTTCGTGCCCCCCCTGGAATTTTTTCACACCCCCCCAAAGGGGCACGCCATGATATAGACTTTCAAAAAAGTAAGTAAATCAATAGTTGGGGTGTGCATTATATATAGGAGTATAGATTTTTTCATGATGATAAAATTCAAAAGTAAGGGTGCACATTATACAGTGGTGTGCATTATATTAGAGATTTTACAGGTATTTGCATCTGCAGGTGTCTTAATACCTCTGAAAATTGGGGCATGTGTCATTGTTTCTCTAAATCAGTGTTTCTCACCCTCAGGGGTACTCAAGAGACATCTGAGAGAATTGGGGCATGTGTCATTGTTTCTCTAAATCAGTGTTTCTCACCCTCAGGGGTACTCAAGAGACGTCTGAGAGGTACATCAACACAACTCAAATTTGGAGAAAAATGAATTTTTGTTTTACAGCGTTTTATTATTTTTGTACTTTTTACTCCCAAAAAATATCATTGCCTGCCCGGCTACAATTAAGATGTTTAAACAAATGAGTAGCAATGGTAGAAAAACATTTTGTGTGTCTGAAAACTGTAGGTACGGGAGGGGGTACTTATTTTTTTTAAAGGGGTACTTTATAAAAAAAGGTTGAGAAATACAGCTTTACATGACTGGCTGAAGAGCCCACATGGGCTATGTCTAGACTGGCATGATTTTCCGGAAATGCTTTTAACGGAAAAGTTTTCCGTTAAAAGCATTTTCGGAACAGAGCGCCTAGATTGGCACGGACGCTTTTCTGCAAAAGCACTTTTTGCAGAAAAGCGTCCATGGCCAATCTAGACGTGCTTTTCCGCAAAAAAGCCCCGATCGCCATTTTCGCGATCGGGGCTTTTTTGCAGAAAACAAATCTCAGCTGTCTACACTGGCCCTTTTGCGCAAAAGGGACTTTTGCCCGAACGGGAGCAGCATAGTATTTCCGCAAAAAGCACTGATTTCTTACAGTAGGAAGTCAGTGCTTTTGCAGAAATTCAAGCAGCCAGTATAGACAGCTGGCAAGTTTTTCCAGAAAAGTGGCTAATTTTCCGGAAAAACTGGCCGGTCTAGACACAGCCATGGAGTTTAAGACAGAGTTAAGAATTGAACATCGGCTCTCAGTCGTAGCCACCTTATCACACTTAGTTGTTACCTTCAGAAGATCTCAAAGCACTTCCCAAAGGAGCTCACTATCACTACTGCCACTGTACAGCGGGGGAAACCGAGGCACGGCGCTGGGCAGTGACGGACCTGAGGTCACCCAGTGGCCACTAGCAGAGCTGGGCGTAGAATGCCAACCCACTTCAATGCTCACTGGGCCTCACTGCCCCATTTTGTCAAGGCTGGACTCTTTCTTCCCCCAAACCAGCATTCTCTCCTTGGGGGCAGGTTAGCCCTGAACACACGGCCTTATCGCCGGGCTGCAGTGCTGAAGATCACCACTGCGTGTCAGCATTGAGCCACCAAGTCTCCCCGGTTAAAGGAGAATGTGCCAGAACATTCCGGCAAGTCACAGTCGAATCTTCCCCATCTGAACTCTTGCCCCCGTCTGGAAAACGGAGGGTTTTTTGGACCAAACAAAAATGAATTGCCATTCTCCCCAAACCACACTTCCGTAACTGCCCTAAGTGCAAAGATCTGACATTCTCCTACCCCAAATTTCTTTTCTCACACCTCTTTTTTCGATGAGACACCATCTTTCCCACCTCATCCCCCTCCGTCCCCTGCATTTCCTTTTCAGAGTGCTTCTTTTCACCCCATCCCCTGCCTGCTTGGGCCAAGTATCCACCTTCCCCTCAAGTACCCACCTCATTAGGCCCCTGAGATAAAAATCATAAACTCACCCTTTTCCTGCAGCATCAACTCTGAATGCAAAGCCACCGGTCGGCTGAGAGAGAGAGACCCGTGCAACAGATGTTCTGTTCCTGTTTGATAACGGGGTGAAATACATTCCTGGGGGAGGAGTTACCATGATGACTATAATTGGGTGAGAAATCCATGTAGAAAGCATTAAGCAACACAGCAAACTGCCATCAAATCAGGAACCCTAGTGGTGTGATAAATGCGTTCCCACTTCCTTGTCTGTTTGAGAGCAGAGGAAAGAGAAGTTCCAGACAGATAAAATCACAAAGGCAGAAATTGAAAGAAACTTTCTGAGCTTGAGCGACACTGGACCAGAAACGCTGGTTGAAATCCACAGCAACCAAGTACTGCTACAGGTTTTTCGGGTTTACTGGCATTTCTGGAAAAAACGGGGGGAAGGGAGCAATTTAATAGCTTCCGAGGCCGGAAGTGAGCAATAGGATCTGGTCTCCGCTATAAAACAGGCTGGAGAACCCGCAGAAAGTGAACTGCTTTTTCTTCGGCTCGGTTGGTTTTAGCGTTGAATATTTTTCTCTACATTTGATGGATGTCTTTTAAAAAAACGTAATGGCATTTTGAAACAACGCCAACAATGTTTAAAAAAAAATCAGAATGTTTGGAATTAAACTTTTGGTTTGTTTTGGAAAGTTGGCGGGGCGGGGGGGGGGGGAATGCCCCCTCCCATCCTTTCCATCTGTGTGCAGAAAAAACTTGTGTGTGCACCATGACATGTGTGAATATGCACCACCAGTAGAAACAAAAAAAAATTAGCTATAGGGTCTGCTAATCAGCTGGGTAATACTGGAATCTATGCAAGCTCCCAGCTAACAGGGAATACTGCAAGGGAGGGGAGTTACCCCTCCTCCCCCACTAAACCAATTCAGCTAAACTGATGCAAAGTCACAAAATGTTTGGGGGTTGTATTTTTTGTGGATGAAAACAACAGCTCACCCTTAAAGGCACAGCTTTCTAGTTATTAGCTTCTTCCGTTCTACAGGAGCAAACCAGACAGCATCAATGAAAGCACAGTTTGGTTTCTCTATGCACCCCCAAACCAAACAACAGGGCTATACTGGTAAAGGTCTGTATTGTCAACAAGGCTCTCATCTACAATGTTCTGGGTCCTACCTGTACAGTTCAACTGATACAGGTACCGTTCCCATTGTAGATACTCTGACTCCAGAATAAGGCTGGTGTAGTTGTAGGATGTGTCTACCCTTCAGCAGCACAGCGATGGTACTGTAACTATACCTTGGCACTGAAGACACTTCTTACGTTGATAGAAGGGGTTTTTCTCGGTGTAGGTAGCCCGCTCCCTGAGCTGGCCGTACCCATACGCAGAATATGAAGCTGCATAGGACACCCTTCTATTCGCTGAAGAAGAATGCAACCTGACCGTGTTGCACATTTATTTAGCTGTGTGCCTTTAAATTCACGCAAAAAAAAATACAGGGTCACACCCCCGAGCAGCCACAAAAAAGACTGATTGGTGGCAGCCATTCTTCTTCAATGCATGCCTAGACTGCTGTGCAGGCAGATCACATTGTGAGGGGGTGAGGTCACAGAAGACCCCTTGGGGGGGTGTCACGGAGTGTGGGGGAGTCACCAGACCCCTGCACCCCCATCCGCAGTCACATGTGACTCTGAGCCAGCCAACAGAATAGGTGTATTGGTCCACAGGGACGCAGCATAGCACAGCCTTGTTACAGGAAGTTGTTACGGGAACCAGGAACAGTTAGTACAATTCATCTTGGGGAAAGGGAGGCCCAGAGCCCCTGTCCTGGCCCCCCCAGGCCAGTTAGGCTCCCTTCCCCCTAAGCCAGGGGAAAAAATGAACTCACTCTCAGCCACTGTCCCCAGGTGGCCCCACCTCCTGCTTTGTCCTGCTTCCAGGCCCAAGGTATATCTGCTGTCACATGGTCCTCAGGACATGATAGACTGAACCCGCTTCCCCAGTGAGTCATACCCAACCTCCCCCTCCTCATCCAGAGAGTGCTGCAGTGCCCCAGGGAAACTGAGGCACGCGCACACACACAGTCACTGCAGAGCAGGGCAGGACAGTAGGAATCACACACAGCATCACAAACCAACCAGTGATTGCAAAACCAGAATGAACCCAGGACCAGAGTGGAAAAAATCCCCCACCACATCACAAGGGGACTTCCCAAGGCCTTTGCCACCCACCTTCCTGCTGTCTAGGGCTTCTCACTGCCTGGTCCTGCTGCGCAGGCTCCTCTGATCTCCCCTAGCCAAGGCCCTGAGCTGAGGTTATAGCTGGAGAAGGGCCAAAGATCAGAGCTAGATCCAGGAACCAAGCAGGAGGGGCAAGGCTGAAGCCTATGGGCGCAGGGCTGGAACAAAGCAGAGGTGGGGTAGGGAACAATGCAGGCAGGAGACATCACAGGTGCTGGATTAAATACAGACCAAGCCCTGGTTGGATGCAGCAGCTGGGTTTGTCACTGGTCAGTTCTCCAGTGTAAGCCAGGGATTCGAGAATTAACATCACTTCCTCAACACACGTGGTTTTGCTCCACACCGAAAATAAAAAAACCGCAGGACATGATACTGTTGGGCCACACTCGTGTTTAAACAGTATTATTTTTGCAGTGTGTAGAGACAGGCTATCATGCTAATTGTACACTGTTGTGCATTGAAAGGACAGTTACCTATCTCTGATTCAGCTTTTATACCAGCTTGTAAAGTGTGTTCCACGGCACTCCCACGTGCCGGGGAGAGAACAGAATTCAAAATGGACGCCCTTAAAGGAACAAGCCTCCTTTTCTTTTTTCTTTTTGCTCAACAATTTTCCCACCTTTTTCGATACCTGAAAACTGCTATCATGTCCCTTCTCAGTCTTCTTCTTTCCAACCTGAACAAGCCCATTTCTTTCAGCCTTCCCTCACAGCTTTTGTTCTCTAGACCAGCATTTCTTAAGTGTGTTCTGCGGCCACCAGACCAGTATGCCTTCTTTTTTGGGGCATGAGGGTCTTGCAGAAAACATTTTTTTTGCGCAAAACGAAAACATCCACACTGCTTGGTTTTGCACAAAAACCCCTAGCGCAAAAAAGGATCATCAGAAAATATGTAAATGAGATTGTGACGCATGCAAATGAGTCCCTCGTTAGCATTTTTTTTTTTTTTTTTGCCGGTACTTTCTGCTTTTTCACCGGACAGAAGCCGCAAATACTGTACTGTCCGGGCCAATACCGGACACCTGGCAATCCTAAACATTTGCCCTTCACTTCATCTGTAACCACAATTGTCTTCCTCTTTCAGGGGTTTCCTTTCTTGTCAGCCAGGGGTGACTTATAAAGGGGAAGGTGTGAAGGCCACGCCCCTCTGCCCCAGGCTCCGCCTCTTCCTGCCCCTATTCCATCCCTCTCCCTCACTCTTGCTCTAACCCCACCTCACCTCTTCTCTCACCCCTGAATGATGTGGCCGGGGGGACTAGTGGGGCTGGTGGCCAGCACTAGCCAGAGGGGTCTGCCCCCTGCCCTCCATACACACTGGCAGCAGCTCCACTGTGCTCCCGTGGCTGCATCACTCCACTTCCTGTGGATGAGTGTGGGATGGCATAGCTCCTTCCCCGAGCAATGCGGCCCAATGATCACAGCAAGCCAAGGCCCTTGCTCCACTTGCCCACCACATAAGAACATAAGAGAGGCCATGCTGTGTCCTGTCTCTCTCTTGCCATCCATCTCCACCCTCTGACAAACAGGAGTCTAGGGACACCATTCCTTACCCATCCTGGCTAATAGCCATTCACGTTTTTACCCTCCATTAATTTATCTAGTTCTCTTTTAAACCCTGTTATATTCCTACCTTTCACAACCTCCTCCGGCAAGGAGTTCCACAGGTTGACTGTGCGCTGTGTGAAGAAGAACTTCCTTTTATTAGTTTTAAACCTGCTGCCCATTCATTTCATTTGGTGGCCTCTAGTTCTTATATTATGGGAACAAGTCAATAACTTTGCCTTATTCACTTTCTCCACACCAGCCCTGACTTTATAGACCTCTATCAGATTCCCCTCTTAGTCTCCTCTTTTCCAAGAGGAAAAGTCCTAGTCTCTTTAATCTCTCCAGTTCCTAACCCCTAATCATTTTAGTTGACCTTCTCTGAACCCTTTCTAATGACAGCATATCTTTTTAGCCACGGCCAGCGAATGCTGGGAGGGGGAGGCAGACTCCCGCTGGAGACGCCCGACCCCCGCTGCCTATTATTTCCCTCATCATGTGTTGCTTATGCTGCCGGCAGAGTGCTGTCGTGTCTGGGTTCCCTCTCTGCTCCAGCTGATGACAGGATGGTGGCTAGGAGTTGGGAGGAGAGTCCTTTGCAAGCGGAACCTTGCTGATGGATAAAAACCTGGGCATGGCTCATCATCATTAGAGAAGAAGCTGGAGGGGAAAGAGACCCTCAATATGTGAAGGGCTGTTATATCAAGATCCCGGCGATCCACTGCTCTCCATGTCCACTGAAGGCCAAATAAAAAGACATCGGTTTTCTCTGCAGCAAGGGAGATTTCGGTTGGATATTAAGGAACATTTTCTAACTCTGAGGGTAGCAAAACTCTGGAACAAGTTTCCATGCGAAGTTGTGGAATCCCCAACGGGGGAAGATGTTTAAGGACAGGTTGGACAAACACCTGTCAGGGATGGTCTGGTTTTACCTGATCCTGCCTCCCGCTGGGGGAGAGGGGAGTGGGCCCGCAAATGTCTCAAGGTCACTTTCAGCCCTTTCATTGCTAATGCTTTCACGTATGATATTGTCTTCATCAGGAAAAAAGGATTTGTTACCAAACTGGCAAACATATGGTAACATCCCAAAGTGGCCAAGACAGTTCGTATATATGAACTGGTCATGCACTTGAAATGAAATGAACCTATCTCCTAGAATTGGAAGGAACCTTGAAAGGTCATCAAGTCTGGTTCCCTGCCCTCACAGCAGGACCAGGTACCATCCCTGACAGTTTTGCCCCAAATCCCTAAATGGCCTCTTCAAAGATTGAACTCACAACCCTAAGTTTGAAAGAAAAGAAAGGACTATCTTCACAAGGAATGAATGCCCACAAATCAGACATCAGACACCGTCACAAGGAAAAAGCAGTTTCTTTTCATTTTGGCCAAGGTGAGCATAGTCTTAACAATCTCACTACATGTATCTTACTTCAAAGAGACTTTAACACCAGACTTCAAAGAGAAACTTCAGAACTGTAATAGAGATGTAGCCGTGTTAGTCTAGTCTTGCTGAAACAAAAAACAGGACTATGTAGCACTTTAAAGACTAACAAGATGGTTTATTAGGTGTCATTCATGCTTAAATTTGACACTTTACGAATGGGCCTTAACAAAGATGCTAATTATCTTACCCATTACAAAGATAGCTTCCCAAATTATCACCCCTGATTATTCATTGACTCATAGATACTATTCCTTCCCCTTACCCCCCTTCTGTTCTAAATCTGATTTGTCAGTTTAATAACGTGTTTACTTTTTTCATTGTATTCCTTTGGTATATATGGTCATGCCAATTCTCTTCGGCTGTGTCTACACTGGCCACTTATTCCGGAAAATCAGCCGCTTTTCGGGAATAACTTGCCAGCTGTCTACACTGGCCCCTTGAATTTCTGGAAAAGCACTGACGATCTACTGTAAGAAATCAGCTGCTTTTCCAGAAATACTATGCTGCTCCCGTTCGGGCAAAAGTCCTTTTTCCGGAAAACTGTTCCAGAAAAGGGCCAGTTTAGACAGCCCAGTAGTCTTTTCCGCAAAAAAGCCCCGATCGGAGCGCATCTACATTGGCCACGGACGCTTTTCCAGAAAAAGTGCTTTTCCGGAAAAGCATCCTGCCAATGTTGACGCTCTTTTTCCGGAAATACTTATAACGGAAAACTGTTCCGTTTTCAGCATTTCCGGAAAATCATGCCAGTGTAGACGTAGCCTTCCAGAATTTGAGCTGAGGAAGTGGGTCTGGCCCACGAAAGCTTATCACCTAATAAACCATCTTGTTAGTCTTTAAAGTGCTGCATGGTCCTTTCTTTTATTTCAGCAAGATCAGACTAACACGGCAACATCTCTATTAGAACCTAAGTTTAGCAGGCCAATGCTGAAAACCACTGAGCTATCCCTCCCCTCACCATACTGTTAACATGTGTGAAAACCACCAAGTACCCACACTAGGACTTTATCGCATTAGCAAACAAGAGAAAAAAGAAATCTCAGTTTCAAGCTGTTTACCATCTAGAAAGGCTGTTTTTGATATGGGAGGCTGTTCTTTGACTTCCTCAGCTGATTACTCATTTGTGAATGGGCTGAATGGAAGAAGTTTTTATGGGGTTTTTCTTTTTGTGGTTTTGTGGTGTTTACACAAAGTTCTGAATAACTCTGTTATCTTCTGGGTGAAGAAATGCCTGCCTTAGTTTATACTTGAAACACAAACACACACACATCTCCACCCTAGGCCCTGCCCCCACTCAGGGCTGGACTAAGTGGGGGCGGGCTAGATGGGCAGCTGCCCGGGGCACCAAGCTATGGGGGGTGCCTGATTGAAGTGCTATTGGGTGCTGCACGCCAGAGGGCGGGGCTGCACATACGCCATGCATGCACGGTGCCCCTTACCATGTCAATCAGGTGTCCCCCATAGGTTGGCGCCCGAGGGCAGGGTTGCACATCCACTGTGCGCCCACTGCCCAGGGTGCAAGTATGGCTTGGTCCGGCACTGCCCCCACTCCAATTCATCCCTGCCTTTTCCTGCCCTGGCTCCACCTCTTCTTACCCCCTCCCTGAGTGCAACCCATCCTAGCTGCTCCTTGAGCCTCAGAAAGAAAAATGGGTGCATAGGACTAGGATAATCAGCTGTGACTAGGGTTGCCTGATGATTGAAACAAAAATACCAAACACCCGCCCCCCACCAAAAAAAAAAAACCACTGGGAAAAAAATTCTGTTGAAGAAAAAAAAAGGGGGAGAAGAAACCAAAGTTGTTGAGCAAAAAAAAGGACTCCCAAGACTTATTAAGCGCAAAAAAAAAAAATTAAAATAAAACAGCATGTCCCCTTTAAGAGTGAGTGCAGGGATAGGAACAGGGGACAAGTTGAGCACTAAGACCCAGGGGAGTCATTGCTTCCCCTTGGTCTTTTTGCTGGCAGCCATTTGGTGCCGGCAGCCTTGCAGAACCAGGTAAGCATGGAGTCGGGGGACTGGGGGTTTTGGGGGTCGAGGGGGAGGCCGGGCGCTGACTGTTGGTAGGATTGCCAGGTGCCTGGCATTTTTGCTTCCTGGACAGGGAAAAAAATCAGAAAATACCAGACATCTTACGTATCTGGTATTTTCTGATTTTTTTTAGCGGACAGGAGATGAAAATCTGGACTGTCCAGGTGAATATCAGACACCTGGCAACCCTAGCTGTGACAGCCACAAATCAACTCTTGTGCATGCTGGGCCTGCCTCAAACTTTCCTGGGCAGCAGGATTAACTGTTTCCAGCCCACAGCAGACAGCTGCTGGCAGATGAACTCTTCGGTAACATGTAATGCCTTTCCTGGCTCCCAATGCATATAAATGTGGCCTTTTCTCAGGGCGGAGGGAGTAGGAAGCCACTTAGGGAGGACAGAGGTGGCTTTTGCTCCTCCGAGAATTTCCCACCACGGCTGGAAAAGGAACCGCTGCTTCCTGAGGTCACTGGAGAACCCTGGAGCCCTAGCTTGAGCATGAAGTTGTGTTGGCTAACAGGGCTGTACGGAGGACTGTGATTAGCAGCTCCTTCCTGCCCCTCAGCTATGGGATATGCGAATCCCCCCGTGTCGGGGATCTTACTGCATTGTGGCAGGGCAGCCGGAGAGCTGTCTATACTGTTCTGTGCACACACACACCCTCTCATTTCTCATCCATAGTCTTTAAAGAGGTTCTCAAATGTCTCCAATGGAAGAATAGTGATAGAGATGCAGCCGTGTTAGTCTGGTGTAGCTGAAACGAAAGACAGGACTGTGTAGCACTTTAAAGACTAACAAGATGGTTCATTAGGTGATGAGCTTTCGTGGGCCCGACCCACTTCCTCAGATCAATATGTGGAAGAATATTGGCACAACCATATATACCAAAGTGATACTGGTTGTGCCAATTTTCTTCCGCTATTTGATCTGAGGAAGTAGGTCTGGCCCACGAAAGCTCGTCACCTACTAAACCAACTTGTTAGTCTTTAAAGTGCTGCATAGTCTTGTCTTTTGTTTCAATGGAAGAGAGACAGCCTGTGCATGTCAGGGGTTTTCCATACCAACAAGGTACTGCATAAGAACTTTCTGTCTCAGGGGGTGTGAAAAACCAGTGCTGAGAAGAGCCTGTGGAAACGACTCCCCTTGTGAAAGTGGTTTACCATGAGGGATGGGAGAGCTCTCGCCCAGCATCCTGCCATGTGACCACACTGCTGCATTAAAGCACTTCGCAGCAACAGCTTGAAACTTGAACGTGTAGAAATCCCCCTGCCTACCCCATCAGACAGCAACAGTGCTAGCAGCCTCAGATGGGAGGTACACTCAAAGCACTAAGGGTGGGTAAATAGCTCTCTTCACCCAGCGGATAGGATGAGAGCCAGGAGACAGCCATTTCTGGCTAGCCTTCGCCTAGAGACGGGACCTGCTCCTTAAGACTGTGCCACAAACGATGATCAGCTTTCAGTGTAATCGTCTATTTCAGTTCAGTGCCGTCTAATTCAATAACATGTCACTGTCATAGATATGTCAGCTGCTCCTGATGGAAATCAGAGAAAATCTACTATATAAAAAAGAAGGTTTGTAAGTTTGTTCGCTAATAACTTGGACACTATGGGTATGTCTACACTCCGTCGACGGAGCCATGTAGATAAGGGCTGTAGACGGGGCAGATAAGAGTGCTACGGGGCCCTGGGCAGTGAAATTTCGTGCCCCCCCCCTTTGACAAGGCACATGCGCCGTGGCACCATCCTTGGAGATAGTTAAGAGCAAGTTAGACAAAAAAATCATCCACTCAGGTCACTCAGGTAGATCAGGGCTACTCAACACGTGGCTTGTGGACCCCACCCCTATTTATTTGCAGCCCATAGGGTGATTTCGATTTATACGTGGTTCAACTTGTGGCACACAGGAGGGAGCCAAACCAAAAAACTAGTCAATATAATGATCTTCTGTTGATCTGCGTTTTAGTAGTTAAATGTCTGGACTGTCATATGGGTGGAAGTCGGATACATATTTCATTGTATTATTATCATTGGAACTGACTTAAATCGGGCCTGTGTGTGGTATAGTCTTGGGTTGATCTGTGTATTAGTGCTCATCAGTGTGAAAGAAACTATTTGCATATACTTGTGTTGGAGAAAAGTCAAGAGGCCGAAGACCCGATGAACCGAACTTTATTACACAGTGCTGTGGAGAAATGACAAGGGGATTGCTACTGGACAGAGCCAGGTGAACTCTTTTATACAGCGCAGTAACTGCTTGAAAGGGAGGGATTTGGGTGCGTCACGGCGCGGCACGTTACGTCACTGGGGGCAGGATACAGCAGCTATCATGTTTGGCTAAGAGCCAAACATGTTACAGTTTTTTCTTTTCCCACCTAAACATGCTTATCCTGCCCTCACTCAGTATTCCCCTTTGACCTGCCTCCACTTATGTTAGGAGCCTGCTTCCACACTTGCATATACATTTGTATGTATAGGCACCCACAGGTAAGCTGCAGCCCTCGGTATGTGCTGTAGACACATTCTTGGGATTTCTGTATTACCTTATAAATGGGCAAAAGCTTCAGAGGTGTAGCCAAAGCGGCGAGGAGCTTCAGAGGTGTAGCCAAGTTAGTCTGTAACAGGAAAAACTTAAAACCACCAGCCTAGTAGCGCCTTAAAGATTAACAAAAACACGTAGGTGGGATCACAGGCTTATACTGGTGAATAGCTTCCGGAGGGGAAGCAAGGATTTTAGATCCCTCATTTGTTAAGCACAGGTTGAATCTTTCAGTTTGGTTTTGTTTTGTCATTACACCGGCGGTTCTTTCTTTAACCCTTTTCCTCTTTCTTGACACTGTTAGACAAAGTTTCTAAGAAGTTTGCGATTGACTCATGCCAGCAGAAATATATGGGTGTGACAGAGAGTTTAAAGGTAGGCAGAGAGGCCAGCTGCATTCAGTGTGTCTCAGGCTGCAGGAGGGGAGCCCGGGCAGCGTGCGCAGCGCACGGGACTTGTCGTATATTTCGCGAATGCCTGGGAGTGAAGATACCCTGGGATCCGTGACTTGCAAGGGGGGGCTCCTACAGAACCTGCCCTGCTTCTTGCTCTGATTTGGGAGGTGAGAGAAGCGGGGTGCCTCCTGACAGAGGGGTCATTCATGGCGCATGTGGAATGCGTCCTGATGGGGGGGAGGCATTTTGTGCGGCACTCCCCGATGAAGAGGGGTGCAAGATGATGGGGGGGTGCTTTGTGGGTCATGCACCAATGCAGTGAGGATGCAGCTGGATGGGGGGGCGCTTGAGGGGCACACCACAATGCAGGAGGGAAATGAAGC